GGCTCCCGTGCCCAGGGCGGCCCCCTCCGGGGCGGCCTGCGGCCGGTGCAGGCGACGGGAGGCCTCGGCCTCTGGGCGGAGCTCTGGGCCGCCCCCTGCTAGGGGTACAGAGGCCGCACGGGGCCGCGGCGGCCTTTGCCCGGAGCCGCCGTGGGGGGCGGCTCCCTTTTCCGCGCCCGGGGTGGGCCCGCCACAGGCGGCGCGGGCTCCCGCAGCCGGCGGCGTCCCTGCCTGAGGGGACGGGGCGGGGACGGGGCGGGGGAAGCCCACCAGAAACTAGACTTCTTGGCTGTGAAGAACCCGTTGGTGAGGGGGGTGTGTGTGTCTCCCCAGCCCAAGTTCAGTATTGGACTGTTGAGAACAGCAGCGTACCTTCCCTTAAGGTTCCTGTGGGGCTAGGGGCTACGAGCCTTTTCTGCTCCTCACAACGCTTCCCTGAGCAAAGGCGGTAGCGTGACTGTCCGCAGCAAGTAACGCCAACCTGCTCCCTTGGTGCAGCTGCAGCCCGGCCTACCTGCCCGGGGTGTGGGGACAACGCAAAAATTGCATTACAGGGAGAAGGACATGCAACTAGGAGAGAGCTAATTTGCTTTCTTTTTTTAAGTTACTTGGGAAAAGGCAGTTACGCCAGCAGGAAATCTGGGACAGGCATTGCACCTCTGCTAGGAACTGCCAGCAAAGCCTCAGCGGGTGGAAGCTGACGTGGGGCGCAGGGGCTCCTCGGGGCACTGGAGCGGCTGTCCGCCTCTGCCGTCCTTCGCGCTCGGGCAGCCATGGGGGCTGGCAGGTTGCCATCTGCCTGCCTGTTTTAGGAACCAGTAGCAAGCGAGAGTGCAAAAACTGGTGCGTTAAGTACATGGTGTGTTTGTTCCAATGTTTTGTTTTAACCAGTCTGTACCTGGTCAACTGAATTTGTTTATGAAGTCTTACCTGATCCTTCTGTTTTACAGATTTCAGCTCAGGAGGCTAATTAACATGTGAAAAGTACATAGTGACCATCCTGCTTCTGTAGGTTTATTTAGCCTGATTAGGATCCTTCAGGCGTTCTGACAGAGTGGTCTTACACACCTGTTTGGCTTGTTGGCTCAGGCTGTAATTAACACAATTTCTTAGTCCTTTTGAACATAAAGGCTTTACAAGTTGAATTGTTCCACTTCTTAGTCCCCGTAGTCATCCTGCATCTGGATTGTTACTATGTGTCGTGTTGCTGTTAATTTGGAAATAGCGAGCAGCTCTTCATCTTGTTCTTTATTTTAAAATACCACAAGAGGGCGCTCACCTAAAGCTAAAAGTGCACGATTGTCCATGTACTGCCTTTTTTCTTTTGGTCTGTTTTTCGACTCCAATGTTTCGACATAGTGCTCGGATATATATATCATAAACGGATGAGAAAGTATGCTCTATGGATTAGAAGGACTGAGACAAAAGTGTTAGCATGAGGAAAATGATCCAACTTATTTGCATGATGTAATTGTTAGTAATTTTTAACCAGGTGGCTAATTGAGAGTATTAGCTACTCAGAATTAAAATTAATAGTTTGTTAATAACTACGATGGTGATGTGTATTTAGTTTAATTATGAGCTGTCATAGTGTTTGAACTCTGCACTACCGAAGATTGAGGCAATGTAAAGGCTTTGTTAGATCAAGACCTGTGAGCAAGTTACAGAATTCCCATTGCAGCAGCAGATGAAAACTAACAGTTAACTGCGTTTAGACATACGCTAGCATGTGTCGTTGAATCCCTAAACCAGAAGAAATAACTAATGAGTTATTTCTTGGTTGGTTTATTCAAGAGAAAGAACTTTCAAATGTTTAGAAACCCATGGGTGAACTGTTTAACAAGAACATTATTGAAACAGCCACAACTCACTTGCAGCTAATGCAGCTGAAGGGAGATGCAGCCTTCCTTAATGGTCTGCTGGGCAAAATGTCAGACTTCTTCCATTTTAGTCTGATCTTTTTGTTTGCTTCACACAGGAATTAACATTGGTATAATTTTCTGTACAGAAAAATTACATCCAGTCGCTGTAACCTTCATATACTTGTTTACTGGGCTTAAAATGGCTATTCATCTGGAGTCGCAGTTGACCGAATATGTTCACTTTTAACAGAAAGGGCTGGAAACAGAAATGCAAGTGTGAACAGATTTTATCAAATGTTACAGATATTAATAGTTATGTAAGTAAATGACACTCAACTTAGTTCCAAAGTCCACTGGCTGAGAGGTAACCCGAGACAAAACAAACACAAGTCAAGCATTTCAGTACGGTTTTACTTTGTCAGTAACCGAGCAAAGTAATTTTCTTTCTGCGATCCAGGTTATGTACAGAATGAATCCTTATATAATGCATAATTATGAGAATAATGAATAATATGTGCAATTACTATTTCAGCTGCGAACTGGCTTGGTCCCAGTACAATCCAGAATCCCAGTTCTATACCAGTACTTCATGCGTGTATCTTTCTCCCATATTTCACCAAAATCTTTGAGTACTGCACTGAGGAAAACCCCTCTTCTACAGAGAGGTGTGGGGGAAGGCATCTACGCCAAACTCTGATGCGGTGTGCTGGGGTTATAGTTGTATTCTCTTTCTTCCAGTTAGTAACACAAGGATGGTTGTGGGAGCACGGAAACAATGACAATATTGTTTTCACTTGTATTATTTTTAGGCTTCCTTTTGGAAATTACCGCGATGGTGTAGAACAACGTCTTTTTAAAGTATGGGGAGGGAGAGCAGCTGGCTAGTGGAAAGTGGTGGCCAGGAGACGAGCCTGTTTCAGATGTAAGAAATAAAGCAAGTTTGGGGGACGTTTTCGGTAAATCACTGGTAGTGAAAATACCGCAAGCGTGGGGGCCTGTAGCTGTGATTTCCGGGAGGAACGTTGAGCAGATCCTGCCGCTCTTAGCCTGTCTCAAACTCCCTGCAGACTGACACCAGCCGCCCGCAGCACCCGATGCTGCCCCAGCGCTGGCAGCAGCAGCAGCAGGCCCCCCCCCCGCCCCGGCTGACCAGCGGCGGGGACTTCGCTGGACGGGCTCCGCGATTCCCCGAGTACAATTTTGCCGCGAGGCGTGAGCTCCTTGCAAACTGAGGTGCCGGACCCGTGACTGGCAGCTGGCCTGGAGAAGGCTTTGGAGCCCTTACCGACCCCTCCGGCGCCCGCCGCCGGCCGCCACGCAAGCACACGGGCTGGTCTGGGGACGGCTGCGCAGCCCGGGGGCGCGGGGACACCCCGCAGGAGCCGCTCGGCGCCGCGGCCCCTTTAAGGCAGGTAGCGGCGGGGGCGGGGTGCCGGTGCCGCGCGCATGCGCAGGGCCGTGACAGGAGCCGCGGCCGCGGAGCGGGCTGTGGCGGCCGGCAGCGCCATGGGCTGCGGCGGAGGGGCCTGAGCCCGCCCGGAGGCGTCCGCCTGCCTGCCTCCCTCCGCGCTCGGCCCCCGGCCGCCCATGGCGGAGCCGGGTGCCGAGGAGCCCGACGAGCGGCTGCTGCTCCTGACGGAGCCGGCGCCTCAGGCAGGGCCACCCTGGCGGGGGCCGCAAAGGGTGAAAGCCGCCCCCGGCGGGGCTGTGAGGCTGTGTGGGGAGCTGGGGCTCGAGGAGGAGGAGGAGGAGGGTGAGGAGGACTCGGGGCCCGAAGGGGATGGAGAGGACGAGCCTCTCCTGCGGGCGTCGGGCCGCGGCCGCCGAGCGGGCGCCGCCTGGGACAAGGAGCCCCGCGCCGCCGCAGGTACGGCCCGGGGCCGCCGCCGGGCTCGGCTGAAGGCGGAGGGGAGCTGCGGGGGGAGCGCCAGCGCGGCTCGGGGCAGGGTGGCTTCGCTCGGGGAGGGCTGACGGGGTTAGGCTGCCCGGGTGTCTCCGGCGGGAGAGGTGGCCCCTGCCCGGTCCTGCCCTGCCCTGCCCAGCCAGCGAGGCTCGAAAAGTACCTGTAGGGACTAAAGTACGCTCGATGTGCCGTGCCCGATGCCTCCTTGAAGTGTCCCTGTCTCATAGGGAGCTGCTTGCCAGCTTTTATGGGAAGGCAGGGTTATCAGCGAAGGGCAGAGGCGCGTTGCCCACGCTCGGCTTGTGGGCTCGCTGACGAACAGTCTTTGAAGGGAAAGTGCTGTGAATGGCTCGAAATTCAAATGCTTTGTCTTTGTGTGCAGGGCTGCACGAACTCATTTACGTCTTCGTGAGTGTCTCCACTCTTACTTGTCCTTGTTCTCTGTCTTCTGTTTTGCTGGGCTTTGCTTTGTTTGTTTCTGTCATGTGTTTTGAAACTTCTGGCTTTGCATGTTTTGCATACTGTTCTGTGATGGGACTGGCTGCTGCTTCCTGAACACCTGGCAAACTCTGTCAAGTTTTCTATTTGTCAGGCCTATTACAGCAATTACTTGCTGGTGACCCCCATCTTTTCATCCTGTAAAGAAAACTTACCTGTGTTTCTGTTCTTTGCTCCAGTCATCTCTTCGCTTCTTTGTACCATCTCGTGTGTTAAGAGTTGTAGATGTGGACTCTTCTGTCATGTTTTTGGTTTTCATCAAAATTTATCTGCTTGCCATGTTTTGAAATCCAGTCTTGAAGAGAGAAAGTAATGTGATGTCAAAATTCAGAAATGTAGGAACTTAGTTATCAATTTGAAAAGAAGCATAAGCGTGGCTGTTATCTAATTCTAAATATAGGGGCAAGATGATAAAATTCACTATTTATTGCTTACTTTTTTTCCTTTAAACTTTCAAGTTTTCTGATTCTGTGCGACTTTGTAAATAGATGTACATCTAGGAAAGGTTGGCTGACAGAAATCTGTGGACTTCGATCACTTAATAGTGTTTGCTGTTGTAATTATACCATAGGATTCTTGCTGGAGACAGGTGAAAATTGTTCCTTTTGCAACAATAGTGTATTAAATAAAAAAAAAAACACAAACCCAAAATAAAAATCCCATCAATTTGAGCAAAATAAGTTATGCTAGTAACTTTTTTTTTTGGTAGCCACAGAGAGCTTTTGCTGGTGTACTGTGTTTAACTATAAGAAAAAAAAATAATGTCTTTTGACCAATGGCCTCAAGTGCAGACCAGCCCTGTAATGCAAACATGCCATTAAAATGTTAGAGTTCTCATGTCTTGTTCCCACAAGATTTAAGATGTGTTAATGA